AGCAGCGGGTGGATTGCGAGTTGGTGAAATAGACTTTTCCTTGAGGTTGCTCTCAGCAGTCCTTAGGAGTCCTTAGAGTTTTCTTAGGGTGACCTCTTCCTTGTTCATGTGGTAGGACATCCTAAATTGGTTGTAGCATGAGGGCAAGGAGTGAAGAACAATGTTGATGGCCAAATCCTCCCCAAAGTTAACATTTAACTTGCAAAGACGATCAACATATCTTTCGTTGGAATTCATGGTTCATTGTGGCTATCATGATGCAATGGACTTTCGTTGCATCACGTTCGTGAGTCTCAAAGATAGCCATTTCCTCAGGACTAGCGATTTCTGGATTGAGCTTCTCGAGCTTTTCGTCGAGGACATACCCGTTGTCTTCGTAGCGTGCAATCGTGCGAATGTATCTTATCCATTCGCTAAAGTTCGATCCATCGAAAATCACTTTTTGACAAAGACTCATTAGCGTGAATAAGTTAGCAACAACGTTGTTCGCGTTCGACATCTACAAATAGAAAGGACAAAGTTTGATTAGAATTGAATCCCTAATTAAACACCCAAAAATGAAAAATTAGGGCTAGGACCCAGCAACATTATTTACATATTAGAAAAGGGATGCCGTAATCCAACACGCAAATAATTTGGAGGTAAGTGAATGAAGATTCACTAATTCTTCACCATGAAAAACATAACCTTAACTTTTAAATCTATTTAGAATTCCTAGATTTTCTTGGAGATTCATTGAACTTTTGAATGGCATGTTTAAATCTCGATATGCCCTCTCGTTTGTGACTGTGATGCCGAGGATCACAAAGTGGGTGTGAATGACCATGCAAATCTACATGGTTCCTTCATTGTTACAATCACCTATTTGATGTGACGGTGAACCACACACGCTCCATCGAACTATGATAAACAATGAATCACCATTTGCCACATTTGCTTAGAACCAATTAGTGTGCCGGTAAACCACACACGCTCCCACTAACTTCTCAGCAAGGGTGCAAAGTGTAATTTCATGGGATTGCATCAATTCACTTTTGCATAAAGTAACTAGGATTGGGAATTTGAAAAAAAAAACATGTAGTTACTTTATATATTAACATTATACTTTTAATAAGGAGAGACAGTTGCCCTATCCTACCCGTTCGGCTAACGACCCTCCACCAGTCAAGCAAGCGGTGGGTGTGAGTGTACACCCATTAAGCGTCATTTTATAGGCAGCAACCTTATACCCACCTTATAGACCGGCTTCGTGAATGACGCCTATTAACGGTAAGAGTAGCATTTTAATTATACATATATATTCATTAAGCTTGTAATAATATAATAGTATAGGGTTGAATTTTAAACTTGTAAGACTCTAGGGGTTGAAATTTTAAATTCTTCAAAATTAAACTTTTAATCACAAAATTCAAATTTCAAAACTCGAGGACAAGTTTTAAACTTTTCAAAACTAAAGGGATCAAATAACAAATAATTTAAATTAATCAACCAATTTCACAATTATCTATATTTGATTTATTTAATATTACTTGCAAGATAATTATCCAATTTAAACCAAATAATCAATCATTATCATATAAGGAAATTATCATTCATTCAAATGGTAATTATCTTTTGTTTTGTCAATAATATACTCATATATATATAATAAAATTCGGATATTGATGACCCAAAACAGTTAAAGCAAGTATCCTCAAGTAAAACAGCAAGAAATCCTGAGATAATCTCTATCTGACCATTGAACTCGCCGAGTACCACAATGGACTCGCCGAGTTGGTGCTACTTGCCGAGTCTACTATGGAACTTGCCGATTTCACCAGGCAGATCCACAAAAATCGAATTTTTCAAGCAACAATCAATCAACCAATGCATCAATTCAATAGAAACCAATCAAGGCTCTGATACCACTGATGGGTTTGAGCCATAAGAACTTTCCTATGTGCACATGCAAACCCTAATTCTTGGATCTAGGTTTCTCTAATTGAACATGCAATGTATCCAAGACATTCATTCATAGATCTAGTGTAAACAAACAATTCACAACATATGAAATCAGATCTAGAAGAATACCTTGAGATGCTTGCTTAAACTTCTTGTTCTTGGAGCTTAGAGTCACAATTGTCACTCCTCTAATGGCTTACAAACACCAACTAGCAAGAAGATGATTTAAGAGAGAGAGAGAGAGAGAGAGGGGGTTTGAAATCAGACCTAGGGTTTCTTGAATTAAGGAGAGTCCAATTTCTACCTCCTATGGGGTCTATTTATACTATGAGCTACTAGGGTTTCACCATAAACCCTAATTGGATAACTTAGCCTCTAAGCAATCCAAAGATCCTTCTAGATGATAACCTTGGACGATTTTAAGATATCTTTATCCTAAAAATCATCCCCTCTTATTATCCATAAGGATTCGTAGCCCAAAACACAACTATCATACATTTGACAATTTATGCCCCTTTATTCAGTTAATCTCTTTAAGTCACCAAATTAATTCCTAATTAATTTATGCCTTATATCAATCAAATAATATTATTATTCCTTTAACATATTATTCTTATAATACTTACCAAATATAGTTACAGCCTTAGACACTCATGCAACATATACAACACGCCCACCTATAAATACATCCACTTTCTTACTTGTTCTCAAACTCCTCAATATGCTCTTACTTAGCACTAGGGATGGCAAAAAAACCTTGTCTGATGAGGAACCCTATATTGAGGAACCATATATTAGAACCTGTTTTCACTAGGGATTTCTTGGCTTTTTTATATAAAAAAATAATATTTTAATAAAAAATTCTAACAAGAAGCTAGGAAACAATTACAAAACAATGTTCAGAATTATGTTTTGTAACCAAGAAACCCATTTAATCAAAACTTTTATATTTCTACTAGTATGCCACTTAAAAGATTTGTCAATTATAACTTCCATAATCTACTTATTATACTTTCCCCTATTTGAAAAAACAATTGAGTTTTGATGTTTCCACAATGCCTAACATGTGCTCATAAAAATGGAATCCAACACCAACTTCTTGTTCCATGAAATTTGTTGGTTAGCCACCCACTGAAATACATCATCAATCGAATGTCAAAGAGGGGGCTACAGGTCCACCCATCTAAAAACCTGATGACAAGTCCTAGTTTCCACCTCGTATTTAAGAAATATATGTTTTATACACTCCATATATTTCATGACAATTGGAAAAAGAAGAATTGTGATTTCCAAGCCATTTTTCGATAAATTTAGATATGTGGGGATTTTATCCAAACAAGCTCTCCACATGAAGATATTTAATTTATGCATGACAAAGTGATTTCATCTAGTAATCACTTGAGTAGATGTAAGACTAACATCATCAGTATAATGTTTAATCTCCTTGGTTGTAAACTTAGGATCTCCATTTAGGCACCCTCTCCAATAATTCATCTCATTATTCAACATAACATCTCTGTTAGGATTAAAATCCTTAAAGATATTAAGATTCAAAACCAGAAAAACAAGAACACAATGATGATACAAAGAATGTAGAATGATTAACTATAATGCCTCAGAAGAACTCTATGAATAATTGCTAATTTAGAGTCACGATTAGGGTAACAACATAATTATTAGCGTTTTCCAAAAATACGATGCATGCATGCATCTTAAATACTCTAACCCTAAAATACAGAATGGATAGCCCATACCGTTTACATAATAGACAATACAAAAATCCCAATGACGCAACATCTAATACCCAACAATCTCCCCCTTTGTGTTAATTGAAGCAGGAGTCCATCATCCTTGAACTCGCTTTTGTACTTCATAAATCTTTCGAATAAAGCTCAACAATAGCTTTCGAATGCGAATGTACCATAGGGTCATGTCAAAGAAGCACTTGAGATATTTCTTACTGTTTCCCTTTAATTTGGTCACCAAGTCCAATATAAGCTCGAGACAGGATGTAGGGTACAGATGTTTGTCAGGAAGAAAGATGCAAGATGTGCGAAAGTCGGCTTCAATTCGTTCCCTAAATTAATACACCACATACCATCCTTCTTTGTGAATCATCCCTGGATTTAGCTTGTCAAAATTCATTGGAGCTTCTTTGGGAACAACAGAAGGTTTCTTTCATAGGACCGCAACTATCTCAACATCCATTTCACCAATCTCTTGAATATAATACTAAAGCATCAATTAGAGATGGGACATGATAGGTTCATACTTCACTTTTTCCTTCAGCAACATGTTATAGTGTACGATCCAATCATATGGGTTTAAACAAGGCAAGTCTTCGAGTGTGAATTCGTAGACCTGACTGGTTGATCCTCTCGCCACTTTGAACTTCACGTTGGGGAAGCTGTCAGTTAGTGACAAAGCTTGAACAAACCAGTATTGGCTTGGTAAATCAACAACATCATGTTGGATTCGCTTCAAGGTCCATTTTGGAAACAAGAACTTTCTGCTCTAAAGAGTGGCATGTGCTTCCTTCTCAGCTTTGTCCTTTTGTTCTGCTTCACGAATGATACATTTGTGCTCATCTAACACGGTTTCACAAGCCTTTCGCTTCTTAAGATCGTCTTTATTTAACTACTCTTCATCTACACTATCATCATTGATAGGCTCTTCTATGAACTGTGGACCCTTGCCCTTAGGTTCTTATTTAACAACTAGTTTTGTTAGAGGTTGGGGTTTACTTTTCTTAAAACATCTGAACCACCTTCTCCCCCTTCTTTTGGAACGAAGCTTGGATATGAAATACCTTCTAGCCTATGGAGCATTGCAAAAGCAGGCCTCAATATCTCATTCATATTTTTGCGGACGGAGATGGTGATCATTGAGTACCTGCTCTCAATGACATCTGAGAGTAAATGTGCAATATCAAAGATACAACTTTTCGTGAGAGCACACTCATTGATTAAATCATTGACCTATTTCTCAGCCTGTTCAAGCTTAATAGTGAGAACCTTTACCCTTTAAGTTTTTATGGCAAGAGAGTCCATGATTTTACCCTACATTGCCTGTTCAACTTGAAGTAAGGTAAGTTGAGAAAAAATGGAAGTTTGAAATTCTTCGTGATCAGATTTCAGCCCCGTTTCGATTTCCTGAAAATTTTCCCTCTCAGTTTTAAATAAAGAACCTAGAATCTGAAGTGATTCATTACCCTTCGTTGTATTAGAGTCAAAGGTAGTTCGGAAATTCTCCATGAATGCAGTAGCCTCAGAAATTAGTTTATCGACTTTTTCGGTCGTAATCTTGAAAACTTCAGCAGAATCATCAACTGCTTTATACATGTTCTCAACATTGGTTGCATGCTCTTTCATGATTCGTTCAAAGAGAGACTTAAATGTTGCTTTAGAGTAAGCCTTAGAAGATGATGTCTAGGAAGCGAGAAGCAGTTGATCTATATTTTCATGCAGTGATTGCAGTTGCACTTTCGTAACGGAAGGCTCGTCCACACTTTCAGTCCTAATCTGGAAAGGACTTTAGGTGAATCCTATGAGATATTCGTCTTCATCATCACCAAAGATCATGTCAGGGTTATCTTTGCGAAAAAGGGAAATAGGAGGTGAGACATGAGTTGAACTGATGTTTAAACCCCCATATCAGATACATTGACCGAAACATGAGGTATGGTAGAGGTGAAGGAGGAGGAGAAGGAACGGAATCATTAAAAGTTTGAGTTAGCTCAAGATTAGGCTTCGGTTCTACAATGAGAGTGTTTTTACCCTCCTCATTACGAATAGGTTATTCCCCCTCATTGCACACATCTGACTAACCATCAGACTCCGAACTTTCACTGGAACTGGGAGTACGGGATTTTCGCTTGCGAGCTGGCTGCTTTCATCTTTTGGGAGCGGTAGCAGAAGTACCAATTGGAGCTTTTTGTTTGGTGGGTCTTTTCGTAGGAGCCAGTTGTCCTTTCTTATCAACAATAGAAGTTGGGGCTCGATTTTAGGGTTTCTGGACATAAGAGGCTGATAAGGAGGCTACCACTTGGGACATAATGACATTATATAGGGATTACACCCTAAAAATTAGGTTTTTTGGTTCTAACCACGTACGATGTGTGTACCACTTCATACGCTAATTGTTTGTGCATCCCTTCGCGATTCACTTAGATCCACTTACACCCCGCATACCCTAGGCTTACACCTGGTGTACTGCCTCAACGAGCACTTTCAAGGAAGCCCAAGTCTTCTAAGCCTAACAATAACTTTCATGATTAAAAAAATAAATAAATGATTAAATAAATAAATAGTTAATACCTTGGAACCATCGGGTGTTATAATTCTTCCCCACTACATCGGACTTCGTCCTCAAAGTACGTTGTGTCACACCCCAAAACCGGAACGGCGGAAACGTTATGGGGTGGATGACGTCACGTCAAGTATCACAACATATGTAGTATAGTAAATCAAAGTACAACAATCATTTCATTAATAGTAATAGTTTTACATGGTTTTCATTAGAATACATCAAAGTAATACAGGTAATGATATAAAAGCAACTTGTTACTAAATTGTCTTCATCAAAAGCTCCGGGGAGGTATCTGTTTAATGCTGACCTGAGAATACAAGTTATTTGAAAAGCGAGTATCAGCATTTTTACAAATGCTGGTGAGTTCATAAGTATTAAGTGTCATTTATTCAAATAACTTTAATAAAAGTGGTAGTTTCAGAGTATGCATGAAATTAGTGTCTTTCCCAGAAAATCCTATATTTTCTTAAATAAAAGCAGTCTTCTACCAAGATTGGACGGAGTTATGTGGTAAAAAGTAGTTTTCCCTTAATCGCTATCATCATCAAAGTACAGAATTTGATTATTAAAGAAAGCAAGAAAAATCAGGGAAATAACATATGCCTCAACAGTGAAGACTGTTGACTAAGGCAAAAGGAACCATAGACTCCAGGAGGGTATTGAATGAACGGTATGCCTGGCTCAGTCTAACAAAGGGAGAAACAGGCCCCAGATGGTACCAAATGAAAGGTACAGCTGGCAAGGACTATACAGAGAATATGGACCCCAGACAGTATCAAATGAAAGATACAGCTAGTATGGTCTAAAACAGTGTGACTCTGAGAGTGGGTTTCCAGCATACAGTGTAAATACAATGTGAAATACCGTTACCTTAAGGACATGAATTATAAGGTAACCTGGGATACTCGTAACCATACTAACCAACACTAGAGTACTAGATGCCCTACAAGCATCTACATAAAATATGACATTTGTCACCCCTTGGCTTGGTAGGTCGTGGACTGTAGCTAGCAGTCAGGGTGCGGGGGTGTCAATCCCGTATATATCTATACACACAATGTCCGATCTCCCTACAGGAGACTCTGGTTACCAACTAGACGACGGAGAAGGCCGTGTCCCAAAGATGCATCCCAAATAGTGGGTAGTAGGTTTCCAATATAAGTGTTGAACTAGCGGTAGAGACTCATAACCGAACTGACTAATGTAAACCTTCAGACGTACATCCGATCCCACCAGACCACATCTCAACGACGAAAAGGAAATAGGGCGAACAAGCCTTCCTAATTCCTTCAATCATTATTTATATACATCTATCCAAGCATAGGCATACATCCAACTACGTTTGAGTGTGTAACAAGTGGAGATGTATCGTGAAGTATAACCAAATCGTGATGTATAACTGAATCGTGATGTACAAGCGAATCGTGTGAAATAACCAAATCGTGAAGTGTAAACGAATAGTGTGGAATAACCAAATTGTGAAGTGTAAACGAATAGTGTGGAATAACCAAATCGTGAAGTGTAAACGAATAGTGTGGGATAACCAAATCGTGAAGTGTAAATGAATAGTGTGGAATAACCAAATCGTGAAGTGTAAACGAATAGTGTGGGATAACCGACTCGTGATGTATAAGCGAATCGTGAAGCAAAAGTGTCATCAAGTATAAGTGTACCCTGAAGTGTAATCGTTAATAGGTATAAGTGAAACGGAAACGAGATCAAGTATAAGTGAAGAAGAAGCGCATCACTAGGTAAAAGCGTATCAAATAGGAGTTTAAACTAAGTAGAAGTAAAGCGGCGGTATCAAAGAAGTGAGGGTATATAACATGAAAGAAAGCCTTGATGAAAACTTGGGAAAAACCTTTATACTTAAGAAAATCGCAACCTAGTATTCTTTGGTAAAATAAGTTTGAAAACCTTTAGCAATCCTTTGGGAAACCTTTATAAACAAGTTTTAATGAAACTTTGATAAAACAATATAAGTAAGAGATTTGCACAAGTGAAAACATTTTAGAAAACCCTTTATAGTCTCATACTTGGTAAAACAGTTTAGAGTGTACTAAATCCTTGTGCATGTGGGTTATCAATCACACGAATTTATATGATAACTGGCATGTTTAACCTGTATTCCCCCTATAAAACATGTAAAAACGTTTAAAAGGTTCATTTAGGGGTATGAACTCACCTGGCGTAAGTGGATCCGACGAAGGTGCCGGTTGGGTGCTCAGTGTCAAGTAAAGACTTGGACACACTTAGTGACCTATTAACATATGGTAACATATGTTCACATACAATTAGTACATATAATACCAATTAAACAAGTACACGCATCCTAAAGTGCGGAAAACACTTTGGTTAAGTGTTTGGGGTGTCCCTGGTAACATTTAAGGGCTTGAATGGCTTAGGAATGGAGTTTACTCTTCAAGAATAAACTCTATATATAGAGTTCATGGCCCTGGGACAAATCCTCATGAGTTTACGACCGTAAACTCATGGTTAGCGTGTTTTAGGATGCTTAAAGGTCTCATATCAATGGTGGAATTTTGCTAAGCCCAAATGTAAAGTGTATGGATGGATTTGAGGCACCTTTATGGACCAAATGGGAGTTTACGGCCCCAACCAAGGGAGTTTACAGTCGTAAGATCCCAAGGACATCTTTCTTGGGTGTTTTAATGGCTTAAGTGATTGAGAATAATTCCTATGTACTTTTCCAAGTCAAATGGGGAGTTTAGGGCACCATTTGGGCACTTAATGGGAGTTTACAGCCCATGAACCACCTCTATGGGAGTTCACAACCGTGAACTACTATCCCTTTGGTTTTATTGAAGTTTAAGGCCCTTATAACAATGGTATTTCATTCAAGCTATTTTTCCAAGGTGTTTAGGGCATTTCTAACACATGGAATGGAGTTTACTCCCCATGAAGGGGAGTTTATGGCCCAAGCAATTTCTTGGGCAGTAAAATCAAGTTTACTCTCCAAAAACTCATTCCAAGGTGTTCTAAGTCCGAATATGTAAGCCTAAAAGTCATATCTAAGCCTTAGGGGCAATTTGGAGGGGTTTTAGGGCTTAAAAACCCCATTAAATGGTGTTTACGGTACAAGAGTGTTCTTGGGCCGTAAACACATCAATTTTGTCCCTATTTTATGTTTTAAACTCGAATTTGCAGGCTAGATAAGCTAGTTAACAAGTTAGGATAGGTGGCTTACTCGTTTGGGGCTCGAAACGGATGATTTTTGGCTCGGAATTAAGTTGTAGAGAGAGAGAGTGGGGAGAGTGTAAAAAGTCTCTAATGGACTCCACTCACCCTTATATAGGGGTTGGAGTTAGGGCTCAGTGGAAATCTACCCGATACTGCTGTTAAACGGGGATTTTTGGTCGCACCCGATTAAACGGTCAAATTTTGACTTGGTTGGAACTAAACATTTTTAAGGGCATCTAATGGGTGCTTCTAATTTCTTTCAACCCTTACCAAGTCATTATAATAGTCCCAATATAATTAAGCTCTTCCAAAAGGTTAACGGACAGTTAAATAAAACGAAGCTTTTTAACGGAAAAGGTTAAAACTAACAGAATAGATTTCGGGCTGTCACACGTTGCCTCGAACAACTCTAGATAATGCTCCTTCATTTCCTCCTCAGGCTTCCACGTCCACTCTAACCCCTTACGGTGAAACTACTGCACCTTTACTAGCTCCAGAACCTTGTTCCTCAACGTTTTCATCTTCCGATCTAAAATTCCCACTGGTCTCTCAATATAATTTAGGTGGTCATCCACTTGAATATCCTCTAAAGGTACAATTGCGAAATCATCCACTAAACACTTCTGCAACTGGGAGACATGAAAGTTCTATGAATCTAACTGATTTCAGTTGGAAGATCAAGACAATAGGCTACCTGGCCCGCTCGAGTCATGACCCTAAAGGGACCAATATACATGGGGCTCAGCTTGCCCTACTTCCTAAAATGGATGACACCTTTCCAAGGTGACACCTTCAGGAGAACCATATCTCCCACATGGAACTCCAAGTCTTACCAACGTCTGTCGGCATAGCTCTTCTACCA